GATGAAACATCTCTCAACAAAAAAAATAAAAGAAACTGTTCCGATGACCTGACTGAACATTGTTGGATTTTTTACCTGGATCCTTGAGCATGAGCCTTGATTTCCTGGCTCATATCTTTGTTTCATGTTTCTACATAATGTTCATCCTTTATGTTGGCATCCATTTTGTGAACTCAACCACAGTCAGTTGCACCCACAACATGATACTGCCACCCCATACTTCACAGTTGGGTCGGTGTCTTAAGGTGTTCCAGTTTCCTTGATTTTCTCTCTAAATATAGCAATGGTCATTATGGCCAAACAGTTCAATTTTAGTTTCATCAGACCACAAGATACAGTATGTCTCCAAAAATTAAGGTCTTTGTCCCTGAGTGCAAATTGCATTGACCCTTTTTGATCAGGTTCTGCAGCATTTTCACAAGGTCTTAAGCTTTTGTTTTGGTGTTAATTCACTCATTTTGCACCAAAACATGTTCATCTCAGGACCACAGAGCCCATCTCCTTCCTGAGCATATGATTACAGGACATTCCCATGGTGATTATACTTGGGTGTAAATGTTTGAACAGATGAACCTTCAGGCATCTATCCAAGTATGAACCAGACCGACTGATTCATTTTGATTTTTCCTATGATGCAACAGCAAGAAGCAATATGTGTTTGAAGTGTGCTTCCAGTTGTCTTTGTATATGTAAACTTTGATGAAATTAACAAAAGAATTGGACATTTAACACAAAAAAGAAAAATAAGAATTCGACCTGAAAAAGGAAAGGGTTAGTTTGGTTTAATGCCAGAACGTGGGGGAAAAAAGTATTTTGATAGTGTATGTAAACTTGTGGTTTCAATTGTATTTTTTCATGCAATGTACAATATAAATGTACACTGACAAAGCTGTGAAACTAACAAAGTGGCTTCTAAAAATTAAATGCATATTCTGAGTTGTCTTATGTTCTCTTTCTGCATCATTACAGTTACACACACACATGGTTGAAAGCATGTTTGTTCTTGTAAAAAAGAGAAATGTAGATGGATAATAGTGACATTTGAAGTTTTAGAACAGAGAACAAGAATTATTCTTAAACCTATAGGTGCTTCCTAACTGTAGGAACATGTTCATTCTTATGTTGTCCTAGATCCTAGTAGGTAAATTATCTTAGGTTAAAAGATAACCAGAATAAAGACAGTTTGCTCCTAAGAATGCCACTAATTATCAAAATGTGGAAGACAGATTACATTAACGAGCATTTATGACTTGGGTCAAACATCGTCATGCTGACCAATTACTGAGCTGAGCACTGACTACTGTCCATCAATCCACCAATCCGCTTGTTCTGAAGTCGGGTTGCCATGGCCGCAACTTAAGCAAGGAGGCCCAGACATCTCTTTCCCAAGCCAACACCTCCAGCTCTTCTGGGTGGACTCCAAGGCATTCTCAGGCAGCTACTCTGCAGAGAAAACTCATTTTGATCACCCGTATCTGAGATTTTGTTCTTTTAGTTACTACCCAGAGCTTGTGGCCATAGGTGAGGGTAGAAACATAGACTGGATGGTAAACAGAAAGCTTTGCCTTACAGCTCAGCTCCTTCTTCATCACAACAGACCGGCACAGAGTCTGCAATACTGCAGACGCTGTGATCCTTCTGTCAATCTCATGCTCCATTCTTCCCTCACTTGTGAGTCAGAACCTCACCCTCAACTCAAAGAGAACAATCCACCCTTTTTTGACTGAGGACCATGGCATCAAATTTGGAGGGGCATTGTCATCCCAGCCAATTCACACTCAGCTATGAACTGCTTCAGTGAGAACTGAAGATCATGGCATGATGATGCCAACAGGACCACATCATCTGCAAATAGCAGAGATGGAATCCTGAGGTCACCAAGCCGGACTCCCTCTGCCCCCTGACTGCACTGAGAAATTCTGTCCATAAAAGTTGGGCAGCCCAGACAGAGTTCAACTCCCATCCTGAAGGGGTCTAACTTACTGCCAGCAATGCAAACCAAACTCTTGCACCACTTGAATTGGGACTGACTGGGAGCAACTGACACCCAATCCCATACTCCCGGAGTACTCCACACAGTCTGCCTCTAGGAACATGGTCACCTTCTCCAAGTCCTCAAAACACATGTAGGCTGGATGGACAAACTCCCATGACCCCTCAAGGAAGAAGTGAATGTAGTATTCTACTGCAGGACAGAGCCCGCATTGTCCCTTCTGAATCTGAGGTCTGACTAATGATTTCAGTGCCCATGAACAGACCTTACTAGGGAGGCTAAGAAGAGTGATGCCCCTATAATTGGGGCACACCCTCCAGTCTCTCTTTTGAAGAGGGGAACCACCACACCAGTCTGACAGTCCAGTGGCACTGCCCCAATGTCAATGCGATGTTGCAAAGGTGTTTCGACCAAGACAGCCCTGCATCATCCAGAGCCTTGAGAAACTGAAAGCGGATCTCATCCACTCCCAGAGACCTGCCACCATGAAGATTATTAACTACCTCAGCTACCTCAGCCCCAGTTATGGACAGATCAAGCCCAAAGTCCACAGACTTAGCTTCCTTCATGAAAGACATGCTGATGGGATTAAGATGGTCAGAGAAGGATACTTTTTTACCTCTCAACATCACTAGCTGAGGTCAACAGTACCCCACCTTCACTACACACAGTTCTGGTAAAGTGCTGCTTTACCACCTCAACCATCTGATGGTTTGCCAGAATCTCTTTAGAGATTGACCAAATTGTGAGCTGAGCATTTACAGTTACAAGTGCCATTGTCCATGTTTTAATTAATTAATTAATTAATCAATCAGGCAGCACGGTGGCACAGTTGGTAGAAATGCTGCCCCTCAGTGAGCAGGTTACCCTGATTCAAATCCCGGTCTGGGAGCCTTTCTAGGTGGAGTTTGCATGTTCTCTCCGTGCATGCCTGGGTTTTCTTCAGGTACTCCGGTTTCCGCCCACAGACCTAAAACATGCATGTTAGGCTGATTGGTAACTCTAAATTGTCTCTAGGCGTAAGTGAGAGAGTGAATGGTTGTTTGTCTCGTTTCTCTATGTGTCCCTGTGATGGACTGGAGACCTGTCCAAAGTGTCCCCTGCCTCTTGCACAGTGCTGGACATGGGCACCGGCGACCCCCGTGACCCAAAAAGGAAGGAGCGGGTAAAGATAATGGATGGATGGAGTTATTAATCAATTTATTTATTTATTCATTACAGTAATTAATATTCTGTCTGAAGAAAAGGCATCTATTAAAGTAACCTGCAAGCATGATTTTGTGTACCTAATCAGACACTTCAGTTTTACCAAAATAAAACAGTACATGGCTGACTTTTAGAGAGTCAGAGTCAGAGTTTCTTTATTGTCATTCGCACCTCATGTGGTACATGTGGTGGAGCGAAATTATGTACACATGAAATTATGTATGTATTATTTACCAGATGATCCCAGGTGCAAATCCCAGTAATTCTTGACTTTTAAAAATGTGTTGCTCCTGATTGCTATCGAAACACCTCCTGCTCCATGAATCTAGGACTTAAACTGTGTTTCCACTGCAGGAACCATTTTCAGGAACAAGGGTAGTTTTCTTTACCACCACCATTTTCTGATGCATTTACCACAGTAATTTCAGATGATCGGAGTAAAAATTCCCCCAGAAAACAAAGGGAAGTGTTGTTTTTATAGTCACCAGGATCTTACAGAGTGGTTTGGGGAATACGAAATGTTTCTTATTGGTGAGTTTGTAAGATTACACATCTATTAAAAATATCAAGATGAAAGGCCCAAAGCATCTTCCTTTGTGAGTAGCTCAATGAGGACACAGTCTGATATTAAATACATGGCATGGTTGAAACCAACAGAACCTTTTTTTACAGGAGCTGCCGAGTTGTGTTTTTAGAGTCTGTGCACTAATAATGTGAGTCTTTAATTTATGTCTATTCTCCTGCACACAGCCATGGTACTACGTAATCTTTATTTTAGACATGATATAAATAATTACAGATAAACATATTAGATAAAAACAATATTTGACATACAACAGCAAGTTAAGAATTACTGTATTTAAATCAAAAAGCATCAACATTTGAAAAAAAATATCTGAGACGTAATTATTTTTAATCCAATTTCTTTGGATACATGGAGAAGGGTTAGCTCTTGTGCTAAAACCAGTCTGCAGGGAAGGTTGATTCTGATCCAACTTCAACTTCTGGGTTTTGGTCTGAGGTCTACATGTAGCTGCTGTCTGACCAGCAACACTTCAGTAGTGGAGGGGAAGCAACAGGCTACACATCAGGGACTTAATCTAATCTGCCTTCAACCTCAACCTGCAGTGGAAACACAACAGGGCTGAAATTACCAGGGTAAAAAGGTTATGGGTCACATAATGGAAAAGCGCATTTAGATCCCATCAATGTCACATTAAGTAATTTAGACAGGAGCATCCCTCTGCAACAAATAACACTTGGGATATAGAGGAATGTTGCATTAGACAGGACATTCATCACTCAGTTTTAGTCTTATAAGAAGGTAAAAGATTAACCCACCAAAAATCTGATAAATGTCAAACTTTTAGAAAATCTAATAAACAAAATCTTTGTTTGTTTGTTTGTTTTTGTACATTTGTAAAAGTGAAGCACTCACAGATACAGAGTAGTTGTGTAAAATATTTCAACAATAGCAATTCTAATAAGAAGAGTTTTTCGAAAGCATGACTTCTAATGTTATATTTGGAAATCCTTGACATGCATTTCAGTTTAGTCAGCATTGGCTGCAGGTGGGAGCTATCTTTGGACGCAGATAACAAGCAGAGCAGGAAAATTTCAGTCCACCTGTCAGAAGAATGATTTGTCACTAATATCACTGAAACAGAACCGACTGAAGCTGAGGCATAACAGTTTATCATCCACAACCAGTCAGCTCACACAGGCTCAGTGTTCGGTGCAGACAGTCTTAAACGCTCCAGACCCAGCAGTAATAAGGCCATTTAAGTTTAGGCAACTTCTCTCATTGTTCAAGGTCATAGTCAGAGTCAGAATGTCTTCCACTGGGTCGAAAGTAAATCTCATCATCAGGTTCTTCTGGCGGAGGTTCAAAGCAGCGGTCAAATTTGCGCCTCAGACGCTTCTGAAGCTGGAAGGTGCGCTCAGTGTTTGAAAATGTGTACTCCTGCTCCTTCAGTTTAGCGTAGTAGTCAGAGAACTTGTTGAACAGAATGGAGATGGGCATCCCATTGAGGATGATACCAAAAGAGATGCAGCTAAATGCCACACAGCGGCCGAGGTAGGAGATAGGGACGACGTCTCCGTAACCAACCGTAGAGATGCTCACCTAAAGAGAAGAAAGAGAAGCATCATCCTTCAGCTGGTTTCATGATCTATGGCAAAGCGTCTCTTTCCATTGTTTTTTCCATACATTGTTTGCAATTTGCTAATATAGCCCCTTGTCTCGTATATAAACACATTTAGCTCATTCAGGAGATGGGTGTTGTGCTTTTTCGTTTTTTTTTTTACTTTTATACTTTTCAAAAATATTTAACTTTATTTAAAAATGTTTTTTGTCATAAAAAACTGAGGTCTCTTCAATTCCTTCAAAACTACTGTTCACTGATATCTGCTTTAGCACACTTTCTCCATTGTTGTTTTTTCATGCTACTTTTTGTGTTTAGCTATAGTTCTGCTACTTTTAGCTTTTACCTATGTGCTACTCTTAGACTTAAGTTAGCCTTTTTGTTACTTCTAGTTTTTAAGCTAGCATTACTTTTAAATTTTAGATAGACTTTTCTTGATTTTAGTTTTTTATTACCCTTGTTCACTACATTAGCTTTTAGCTATCTTCAGACAGACAGACAGACAGACAGACAGACAGACAGACAGACAGACAGACAGACAGACAGACAGACAGACAGACA